TTCGCAACCAACGTCCACCCATCCAAAATTTCGCAGCACAAGTAAGCTCACTCCATTCATACTTACGTTTCACCACTCCTTGCATTGACGCCTTATGTTTTCATTGCCTTCTCTCCAGGGATGTTATGATAACACCGACGATGAGATGCCAAGACTTGGAGCTACAAAAAAAGATTCATCACAAGGTTTTGAAAGCATTTTGCTATCAACAGCAGTGGCCCCATTAATTATGTCATGGTGGAAGGCCACCCAACCAAACAATAACCCGATTAAGGCATATACAAATATATGGACATCAATAAAGCCATGAATAAAATAAATATTACTCGCATTGCTTTCTAACCCTCCACCACCTTCGACCCTCTGCTTTGTCAAATAATTGTATGCACCACTACAAGTTTAAGAACAACAACATAACTAACAACACTAACACTAAGTAAGACTGAACAACAGCTGTACACACAACTCCACGCTTGCGCGGAGCTTGGCTTAGTTCTAAATTAATAGATTAGATATTTAATTTTATTGAGAACCAAAATGTGTCACAAGTTTTAAGCGTGTTAGAATATAATTGAGTTTGAAAACGTGTTTCCAAAAAATAATATTTCCTTTTTATTTTAATACAGTATTTTAATTATTTATTTCATTTAGTTTGAAAACATTGACCAATATATAAACCGAAATCCTTAGTGTAATTATTTACGTGTTGACTATGAATTTTATAGTGATAAAATATAATCTCATAAAGAGATGTACTTAAAATTAATTAATGTTTTCTATGATTCTGATCTAATGTACCTTTTCAATAAAATTAAAGGGGGCAAAGATAGAGTATGGTATAAATGATGTTCATCTACCTACTATATATTTGAATCTTGATTATTCAATTTGTGGCACAAAACTCATAGATATTTTTTTATAGCAGTGTTAATATTATTTATTAATAAGTTAACATTCAGGAAGAAATATCGTTCACTCGGATTTTAGCAAAAGCCAATCTCATAAAAAAGATAAAAAAATAAAAATATATTTAAAATGAGATATAAACTAAAAAATCAGGATACTGGATAACAAGGAACATACTTAATCGAGAGGCTGGAGAAACATCTGGAAAAGCAGGTACAAATAAGTTGAAGGCTTTTGACTAGAAAACTCAAATTTCACAGAAAATCCATCAATTTATATGGCAACTGGTATCTGATTATGTAATGGTTACAAGAAATCTCTCACGACGTCATATGCGGTGTGATAACTATTGTCTAAGATGTGGAAAGTCTGATGAACCAGTAAATCATGCAATTTTTGAATGTTCATCCGCATTGCAAGCTTGGACACTCGCCTCAACAGTATTGTGTCCAAGAATTTTTCTTAGAATGTTTTCACAAATTTGAATTATATGTTTTGGAGGAAGAATGAGATTGAAGACCCATACCTAGACAAGGATCCTTATCCATAGATCATTTGGTATTTATGAAAGGTAACAAATGACAATTTTTAGAAGCATCTCAAGAGATCCAAATGAGTTGGTTAGATATGCAGAGAGTGAATGCAATGCATGGTTTAAAGCAAACACAAATTTCACAGAGAGTCAACCAAACACAAATGAATACTCAAGTCTTAAACTTGCAAGAAATTTTTTTGATGGATGGGTAATAAGCACACCGAAGTATATACGGTTGGGTATGGAGGGATGGTTCAGGATGTGAGCAACTCTTACGGCTGAAAATAATAGAAATTGTATGTCTTTTTGCATACAGAAATTGAGATTTTGATCTATGCGATAAAATTATGCTGCAAAAAAATGTTTGCTAGCACTTTGGAACTGACTACAAGAATTTATTTTCAATGATTCATAAGCTGAAAAATTGACCTAGTTTCTCAACAAAGCTTGGGGATTTTTCTACATTGAAGAGAAGATTCTCAGACTTCAAGATTACCTACATACCAAGATCGCAAAATTGGACTGGAGATAGTTTAGTTAAAACTATTCGTAAATTCTATTGTCAATTGTTTTATTCGGTCTACCTTTCGAGACTCAAACATAAGAAAAATAATATTATTTTTATATTAAAATATAAAAAAACATTTTACAAAAGATAGTTAATATGTTAGTAAAATACTAATGACATGCATATTTGTTTAATGATGATGTGTGTATATTTTTTCTCTTTTTATCTTTTTCCATTGATATATATCTTTGTAACTTCAAGTTACCAAGTTCACCAAGAGGAATAGAGATAAAAAGCTCTGACTTCTCTCTAAGTTTTCTCTGACGCGAATAGATTTTTACGGACGACGGAGTAGGCTTCCACAGCCACTATCGGTCGGGATTTGTGTTCTTCTATCATTTTTTATTTCTTCAAATTTTTATCAGGGGGGGGGGGTGGAGACTCTCTAAACTCTGCGTTGCTGGCTCTGTTTGTCATTTCCTTAAAGATGAAGGTCGTTGGATCTTTTAGGAGTCGGTTTTTATGACCGATTTGTGAGATGGTTCTGTTTTATTTGGAATATAGTCTTGATGACGCTTTCCACTGGAAAGAGTTCAGCCGAAGAAAATGGGTGAGGGGGTCTTAGCCTCCGGCGTGTTCCGGCAAAACAATTGTATGTTTCGTTTTCTTCGACGTTGTCTCGAAGGTTAGGTTATGATGGTGTTGCCGTGTGTCGCATGTCTCCTTGATGGGTGGGTTTCAACACGTGTCTGGATGCGTGGAAATATGTGGCACTGATCGGGTTTAGGAGTTTGGACTTACGACCCAATATTTCTATATTTGTGGTCTTTGTTTTGGGTTTTTTTGTGTAATGTTTTTTGGTTTTTGTTGGATTTAATCCTAATAAATAACAAATTAATAAATAATATATGGTAAAAAGAAAGTTAATCATAGATAACTTAGTCATAGGAGAGAGAAAGTAAATCTAAAGCTCTTCTGCCTCTGGCGTTTGGGCGGCGTGTCTGAGCGCGTGCCGGCGTCGGAGGGTCTCTACCTTGCTGTATTTGTTCATCTATCTCTCAAAATTCATATTAGATAAGGTTTTGGTCTTTCTGGTCTCGGTGTCGCACCAAAAACACGGTGGTAGTTTTGATCTTGCTTCTGGGAAATGGCGGTTTCGACAGTGTTATTTTCTCCAGCTTTTGTTTCTGCGAGGAGGCGGCTTTGATAGCACCAGTTTCGTCGGATTAGGGTTTTGGGAGGAGGCATCTCTTTGTACTGTTCCTCGCCGGCTTGTCTCTCCGGTTATCTCTACGAATCGGAAATACACATGCTTCTCTACCTCTTGATTCCGACTTATGTTACCGCATGAGTTATGCCGAAGATGGAAAATTGATTGAAGGTGGTTATTCATTTTAGTTGATTCGTAGATCCGGTATGGTTGGTTTTGGTTACGTTGTTGTACTCGAGCTGTAGCTTGGTGGTTGGGTTGTTTGTTCCCGTCTCGGATCCGTCTCCGTCGTTGACGGTAGCCGTCGTTCCAATGTGCTAGTTCCGGAGGATGGATGTGGGTTCTCGTTAGGACGCGTGTCCTGGGATTGAAGGGTGTCGTAGAAGGTGTGTAATGGACTTATCTGTTGGTCTTTTGGCAGTGTTTGGTAGGTGGTAGTTAGGAACTTTTTGTTTGGATCTGTATTGTAATGTTGTATTAGGTCTGTTTCAGTTTTGGACCTTGTTCCTTTTATATAATCCTTTGATGGAAAAAAAAAGTATATCGTTGTAACTTCATACTGCAAAAAAAAATCTAACATAACAAAATCAGTTGTATATAAAATTACACAGAAACACAACAAGAATGCCAAGAAACATTAAGGCTTCGAATGGTAAAAGCAGATCAAGCGGTGCAGATCAAGCGGTTCATGCAGATCAAGCAGGAAAATTTATATTTTTCGTGGAAAATAGTTATTTTTTTGCTGACACTTATGTAGAAAAATTTATATTTTTCGTGGAAAATATTGTGTTTTTTGGCGATTAGACATCATGCTTATAACTTTAAAATGATACAAATAATATTAATGTGAACTATATAGTTTGAGTTAATAATTGTACATTATTTATAAAATCAAATAAATATATTTTAAAGTTAAGTGTTTGTAATAAANAGAAAAATTTATATTTTTCGTGGAAAATATTGTGTTTTTTGGCGATTAGACATCATGCTTATAACTTTAAAATGATACAAATAATATTAATGTGAACTATATAGTTTGAGTTAATAATTGTACATTATTTATAAAATCAAATAAATATATTTTAAAGTTAAGTGTTTGTAATAAAACTATTTATTAGTAAAAGGAAAAAAAAAAGGCAGATCAACACCACCAAATATTAGCGGATGGAATCTGCATGCAGATCTCCTGCTTTTTCTACTAAAAGACAAAAAAATTGAACTGCATGCAAATTTCCCGCTTGAACTGTTTTTACAAACAGAAAATGATGAATGGTAAATATAAGGCAGGAGAATTACCTATTGTGGAAAAATTGTTTGATCAGCCTTTGTCCTGCCCCTCCCATTCATAACCTAAGTTGGGTAAAAAGAAGAGTAACCATTAAAATTTAATCCTCTAAATCCCTAGGTCAGTGGTAAGTTATATTATTAAAGAAAGGGAACCGTGTCAGAGAACCCAAAGATTTGTTCTCTATACTCTTTTCAATCTGTACTGGTGGAATCCGAGGAAGCCGTGTGAGACCAAACCGACAAACTATCAACTTGTCGCCACGTCAGCAGATGAACCTCCCACGTTGATTCCTTCTTCTACTCAGATTCCGCCACGTGTGTATTTTCCCTAACGGCTAGTTTTTAGCCGTCTTTTGCTTACCACCAGGAGGGAGAAAGGAAGGTAAACAAAATTTAAAAATAAAAAAATAAAAAAGAAAAATGAGATATTTTTGCCTACGGAAGTTTCGTGGGCTTTCGGGTTCTGTAAAAAAATTAATTTGACTAAAAAGTAAAAAAGAATATCTTAACTATATAAGTACATTGAAGCTAATCTTCTTGTCACACAACTCAAAAGAAAACAGAAAAATCACTCATTTTTCTCAGCATCTTCATTTCTGCAAACATACTTGGATAAATTTGAGTATATATCGAGACAAATCTCAAATTTTCGTTCACACAGACAGAAAAATGGCATTGGGAAAGAAGAGAATAGTCGCCCAGAAATCGAATTTGAAGCAGCGTCGGGGTGTGGAAGAAGAAGGATTAGGGTTAGAGTTAGAGTTGGTTCAGTACAAGAGAGGGTTTGGGAGGAAGAGGGTTCTCATTTCATCAGGTGGCGAGATTTTTGATTCATCTGTCGGAAAAATATCATCCAAGAAGCTCTGCGATGAAGCTTCGGCTGCAGGTGGTCAAAGTCGAGAGCTTGAAGATCTTCCGCTAGATATTCTGGTTAGTTTTTATCACTAACTCTTCCTTTTAATCTTCTTTTTGATTTTTTTGGGTTTGGTTAATTTTTAGATTGAGCTGAAAGTTTGAACCTTTTTACTCCTCTGAGACTCAGAAGTCATTTGAAATGAGAAAGTGTTGGTTAATTTCATCACCTTCTGATTCATAAGTTTTATTCGGATTGACAGTATTTATCAGATTGAGCTGAAAGTTAAAACTTTTTTGTATTGTAAGATTCAAAATCGTGTTGGCGCTATGAAACTTTTAAAAAAATTTATGGGGCAAAAATTTCTCTTTTTATTTAATTATTATTATTATTTTCAAATTTCTGTTAATTAGTTGACGTTTGATGTTAAATTACAGCATATTAAATAGTTTGAGTTGAAAATCGAAATGTTAATATGGTAATGAGATTTATCCTTTTATGATCTCTGGATTCTATTAAGTTCGTTGAGATTTGGTATGATTAGTTATAGATTGAGCTGAAAGGTGAACCTAATCTTGTTGTTTGAGGGTCAATTTCTCTGGGGAACTTTTATTATTGTGAATATTTGACTTCAAACTTTGACCATTTCATATGAGAGTTACTGAATAATTTTGTGATTTTATTATAGGTGAGAATTATCTGTGGGGTCGAGCATGAAGACTTGAAACAACTGTTTCATATTTCAAAGACCGTTAGAGAAGCAGTAAGTAAAATTGGGTAGTAATCAGGATACAAACAGCATTTACTTGATGTTAATCTAATTGGTCCGTATTTTTATCTGCAGACATTAATAGCAAAGCAGTCTCATTTTGCGTATAGTACACCTCGGAAGACATCTATTTGCCACAATGGCAGATTCGATTTTGACAAACCGTTTGGTTTATGCGATGTTAATGAAGAGATCGAAGCTCCAGGAGCACCATTGCAGAAAAGGTACAACTTTTCGCGGATAAACCGCAACGAAGACGATTCTGGAGTCTCAGTTGCTCTGTTCAAGTGAATAAAGCAACTTGATTTCATGACTTGGTTTCTTCAAGATCTTGATTGAAGAAAAAAGAGAGTTTCAAGTTATGTTCTTGGGTTTTGGTTTGGACAAGTCTCTGTAAATTATTGTTAGATAGGTTTTGGAAAGGCAAGCTTGTAAGGCAAACACTCTTTCGAGGGTTTAAAACTTTTGTGTGTTATGTAATGTAAATACAGTTTATTTGGATTTATTTATAAAGTGAACTAATAAGAGATGAAATATTTTATTTCATAATTTGTTTGTGTTCTTTGATTTCTTCCTAAAAGAGATGAAATATTTTATTTCATAAATGAAACTGAAACGAATTTAAGGGTTCTTTTTGTATAATGGATGTAAATACTGGAAGTATGCAAGGAATAGGGGAAGCACATGGTAACAAGCGGTAAAGAAGCACGTGAGGTTCTGTAGATAAGAGTGATCTCTCCCATCTATAAAACACTCCGTTAAAAAAGATGAAACATATGAGAATTAAAAAGAGAATTCGGCCAAAAAAAGCACCAACTTTGCACGAATGGCCAAAAGAAATCTGTACTCGAGTCTGGCCAAAAGAAACCTGAACTTTTGTTGACTTTATTAGTTTATTAAGAAACTTACGATTGACTCGCCATTTTAACACACCGTTAACGAACCGTTAAGACGGTGTTAACTCGGACGTTAATTGTTGCTGTTAGGATGAAACGACGTCGTTTTCAATTGAGATGAAACGACCACTACAAGAAAACTCGTCCATTACTAGGGCAGGTTTTCCTCGTTAGTTCCTAGTAAATGGCCTTTTACTAGGAACTTACGAGGAAACGCGTTTCGTCGAAACACGTTCATCGTAAAGCCTTTTTCCTCGTAAAGTCGTAGTAACCACTTTCCTCGTAATTTCCTAGTAACCATTTTCCTCGTAATTTCCTAGTAACNTTAAAGAATCCAAATTATAAATAAAAAGAAATAACAAAATATTTTATAAATAACTAAATATTTAAGTTTTAAATTCATATACAATTAAAGAGAAAAAAAAACTAAACTACGGATGTTGCTCGTTAAAATTGACGAACGAAGTCGTCATCCCGGCTCGATAACTAGTATCATTAATATACTAGTATCATTTAAAAAAAAAGTTAAAAAAATTAAATTAACCTAATCTAAATTCCCTAAACTAACCACCTAATCTAAATTCCCTAATCTAACCACCTAATCTAAATTCCCTAAACTAACCACCTAATCTAAATTCCCTAATCTAACCACCTAATCTAAATTCTCTAATCTAACCACCTAAGTAGGAAATAGAGAGAACCTTAAGAGAATTCATAGAGAAGCTTACTACAAATGAGAAATCGGATTGCTCGAGTTTATATAAGGAATTTTGTTTCCTCGTAAGGCCCTAGTAACATTACTAGGCCTTTACGAGGAAATAGCTATGCCCGTGTTTTTATTTCCTCGTAAAGTCCTAGTAATACCATTACTAGGACTTTACGAGGAAACTGCTTTACTAGGAAATAGCTATGCCC